AAGAGCGGTCCAGGCAAAGGAACCAGGAGGAACAAAAGCCTTCTGACAGGAAGAACCAGAGAAGGATAATAAAAGGCCAGTGTGACTGGTACAGAGAAAAACCTCCAGGTCCAAGGAAAGGGTGGTAGAAAATGAGGCTGCATAGGAGGGGGGGAACCACGTATGACCTGGCCACTGGCTACCTGGGTGATTTGGGACAAGTCACCTTATCTCTCAATGCCTCATTTGGCTCATCTGTAAAATGGAAATAAAAATAGTACCAATATTATAAAACTGTTAAGGAGACTGAATGAGTCAATACTTGTAACCACTTAAAATAGTGCCATGCACACAGTAGGTGTTATAAATCTTTGAAGGCAACATTGGAACTTTTTCTGAAGTACAATAAAAAGACACAGAGGGGCTTGAATATGGATGAAAGGGTAGGTACTGAATGGATGGAGGGTGGATGGATGCAGGGCTGGCAGATGGGTGGGTGGAGGTGGTTTAGTGAATGGAAGGGTGGATGGATTGTTGGATCTAAGTATGGTTGGGTGATGAAGGTGGTTGGATGGATGCATAATGGATGGAAAGTTGGATGGCTGGCTAGGTGGGTGGGAGTGGATGTTGTTTCGGCGAATGGAAACATGACTGGGTAATGGGGTGATTGGATAAATGGAGGTAACTGGGTGAATGAAGGTGGCTGGGTGAATGGATGCATGGTTGAATAGGATGGCTGGTGGTTCAGTGGATGGGAGAAGTTGAGTGAAAGTGGGTGCTGGGGATGAGGGGATGGATGGGTGGTTGAATGGGTGCCTGGGTGGTTGGATGAATGGCTGGTGGCTGGATGGGTGACTGGGTGGTTGAACGAGTAAGCAGGAAGTTAAGGGGCTGGGTGGATAGGTGGGTAGAGAGATGGTTGTTCACGTTGATATTATAACGGTTGGGTGAATGTAAGGTTTAAAAGTGAAGGTAGGGGTTGGGTGAATGGGTGGATGGGAGTCCCTGAGCGTATGGATGGATGGATGGATGATGGATGGATGTCTGGACAATAGATGGATGGGTGAACAGGTGATATGAGATCCCGAAGCACCTCCAAATGAACCCTCTATCTAGAGTCCTCTATATAGAGTCATGGAGGAGCCCCTGATGGAGAAAGAAGCCGAAACAGGGCCTCCTAGGCTGCCCTGGCCCAGGATTTCTTCCCCGAGCGGGGCACAACCCATCTGCGCCCGCCCCGGGGGTCCTACCTGGAGGCGGCGATCTCGGCCTTCTGGCGCGCGATGGCGGCGGCGCGCTGGGCGCCCTCCACGCTGTGCTCCACCTTCTGGCGGACCTTGCTGCTCTTGAGCGGCAGCACGCGGCGCTTGGTGCCCTTGACCAGCACGTTGTGGCGGTACTTGCCCTCCTCGCGATGGCCGTCGGGCAGCGTGGTGCAGCCGTAGCCGTGGCGCAGGTTGTCCAGCCACTCGCCCTCGTAGCGGAGGCCGCTGGAGCGCTCGCTCACGCCGAAGCCCGAGCGCTTGTCGTTCTTCCACTCGCCCATGTAGGTCTCTGTGGTGGTGGCGTCGATGTCGGCCTCGAAGGGCGCGGCCTCGTCGGCGCCCTCAGCGCCCTCGCCCAGGCTGGCGGTGGACGCGGCGTCGCTGGCGCCCGAGCTGAGGTCGCTCTTGAGGAAACTGACGCGGCTGCGCTGGCTGCCCAGGGACGCGCGCGACTCGGCGCGGCGCATCTTCCCCAGCAGCGCGCCCCGCTGGAACAGGCCGCCGCCCTTGGCCGCCCGCGCCGCCGCCGCCTCGGCGTTGGCCAGGAGGCTGAGCGCGAAGCCACCGCGCGGGATGGCGGGCGCGGGCAGCGTGGGGCCGTCGGTGGCCGGCGAGGCGGGCGAGTCCGGGGCCACCGTGCCGTTGCTGTGCTCGCTGCGCAGGGACGAGAGCGACGTGCGCAGCGGCGAGCGCACCACCACGGCCATCCCGTAGGGCACGCTCTGGCGCACGCCGTAGCCATGGCGCATGCCGTTGGTGAACTGGCCTTGGTACGTCCCTGCGGGCGAGGAGAGGGCAGTCAGTGGGGCGGCCCGACGGGGCCCCCGGGAGCACTGGGGCGGGGGCGGGCCAGGCCGTTGCGGGGCAGGGAGGGTGGAGTGACCGAAGCCGGTGAGGCTCCGAGTGTGTGAGGTTGCGTGAGTGAGTGTGGGAGAACAAACGCGTGCAAGCCAGAAGTCTGCGTAGCGGTGTGAATATTTCCGTCGGTGGGAACGTGGCAAGGCCACGAGCGTGCAAGATGGAGTGAGGTGGTGTGATGCCGAGTGTTGGTGTGTGAAGTTGTGCGGGAAGGCGGGGCCCCGGGAGTGCGTGCCAGGACACGAGCACACAGGCCGGAAGGAGTCTGCATGACCGGTGTGAGTATTTCTGCTGGTGGGAATGTGCCAGGATCTTTACTGTGCGAAATCGGGTGAGGTTGAGTGAGTCTGTCTTAAGTGTGAGGTTGTGTGAGCAGATGAGGCTCTGTGAGTGTGCACAGATTTGGAATCACACAGAGCAAATGAATGTGCCAGAGCGCGAGTGGTACGACAGTGAGTTTGTGCGGTAGCGTGAATATTGCATTTGTGTGAGTGTGCACGTAGAAGCTTGAGTGTGCAAGGCAGTGTGTGCACAGAGGGTGACCGAGATCACGTGAGCATGGGACGTATATAAGGTTATGAGAGCATCTGAAGTCTTAAGTATGCAGGAAAGGCAAAGTTGAGTGAGGGTGCAAGACTGCTAGAGATTCAAAGAGCGCAAACTTGTGAGCAGGCAAGGCTCTGTCAGTATGCGTGTGCGTGGTTATCCTAGTGTGCAAGGTGACGTGAAAGTCCAAGGTCATGAATAGATAAGACGGTGAGTTTGCATAGCGGTGTAAATGTTGCAGGGCACAGGCGAGTGTGTATTTGTGCAAGGCCATGGATAGAGGAGACTGTTAGGAATGTGCCTATCGGTGTCCTTTGCCTCTGTGAGCTCATGAGTGTATGATGCAGTGTGTACACACTGGAGTGAGTGCCCAGTGGAGGTGACATTATGGGTATGTGTGAAGTCTGAGTACACAAGGCCATCTGAGTGTTAAAGCACAAAGTAATCTGAGACACTCGAGGCTGAGTGAGTGTGTGAAGTTGTGCGCATTAATGAAACTGAGACCGTGTAAGACGACGTGTACGCAAGATGGCGTGTACAGGAAGCGGGTAACAAGAAGGCCTTGCACGTCCATGAGTGTGAATACCTGATCTCCTGGGAAATAGAATCTGTGTATGTGGCCACGACGTGAATAGAGAGGCAGCACAGAGTAATGGTTAGGAGTGCAGACTGCGGAGCCAGGCTGCTGGGTCCGAACCCTGCCTCTGCCCTTGCTAGCTGTGTAACCTTGGGCAAGTGACTTAACCTCTCTGAGGCTCAGCTTTCTCACCCGTCAAACAGGTAACAGTTGCCTCTTACCTCATAGGGTTGTTGGAGGTTTAAATGAGTTAATATGCTGAAGAACTAAGAAAGAAAACATATGTGTGATGTCGTGATTTTACAAAGTTATGCTAGCGTGTGAGGTCACCTGAGTTGTATGAACAAGCTGATACAAAGGTGACAAAATATCTTCGTATTCCACCCCCATCCTAACAGGCTGTGCTCCCCGGGGCTCCGTCCAAAACCTCCTCCCCATCCTCCCTGGGTGACTGCATCATCTGGTGTTTTTATAACTGCCATCTGTGTCCTGCAGATTCTCCTGAATATATCCCCAATTTCTTCCCCTCTGCAGCTCCACATGTTGCCTTGGAGATGGATGCCCCCAGATGTTACACAGCATCTCCAACTCAACACCTCCCTCACCCCTACACACAGCTGTTCTACCTCCTTGGTCTTTCTCTCCGCAGCAGCACCACTGAAAGCCATCTCTCTGCCTTCACCTTTGTGCCTTTTGTATTTAGAACAGTGCCTGACACATCATGTTCACTGCAGTGAGGGGGGAAATTCAGAGCCGTTGTTTTAAACACAAGCTGATGTGCTGCCCTGGTTAACCAAAAAAACCAAATGGCTTGCCAACAAATACCCAGGATGGCCGGTAAGGGACTCTTAAGGTCAACCCAACAGGCATGTTCCTATTCGGACCTTTGCACTGGCTGTTCCCTCTGCCAGGAACTCTTTTCCTACCTATATCCTTCAAGTCTTTGCTCACTGAGGACTACCTGACCACCCTATTTAAAACTACAGTCTGCCTGTGTCCCCACAAGCACCAAGATATCCGTGATCTACTTTTTTTTTTCTATAGCATTTATCACCTTCTGACATACCATATGACTTATTTATTTATATTTATTGCTTTATTGCTTTTCCTCCCTTGCTAGAATGGAAGCCTTGTGGGTGCAGGAATCTTTCCTGTTTTCTGTTCTGAGGTATCCCCAGCACCTGGGACAGTGCCTGGCACATAGAGGTGCTCCAGAAATATTTGCTGTTTGATTGGCTTGAACCTGTCCAGAAATGCCATCTCACTGTGTGACCTTGGGTGACTCTCTTCCTTTCTGCCCCATCAGTCAATGACATGTTGGTGATGAGGCTCTAAGGTTTGGCCTCACTTTGAGATGCTGGGCTTCTAGGAATCGGGGCACTGTGACTCTGGAGGCAAAGGATAGTGAGTCCCCATGACTCTATGCAGCCCGGCCCCTCCCAGCACAGACTGCTGCAGCTCAGGGTCCCACGCCTACCGAGCCCCAGCCCTTTGTGTGTGAAGAGACCCCATCAAGGATCACGTACAGTGCGGGGGGTTCACTTACACCTCTCAGCAATTCTGTGAGGTGGGTCTCATGCAGATGCTTATTTACAGGAGAGGAAGTTGGTGATCTGAGAAGTTACTAGACTTGACCAAGGAAGCAGGATCAAAACCCAAGTCTATCTGATGCCCAAAGCTCATGCTCTGAGCCCACAGTTCTCAATCCTGGCTGCATGTGAGACGCTAAAGATAAAATCCAGATCCCTGGGCCTTGCCACCTGAAATTCTGCTTTAATTTGTTGGGGAGAGTGTCTGGTGCTTCTGGCCCCTCAGTACGGCAGGCAGGAACAGCCAGGGGTGAGAGGACAGCAGGGCTCACCTCCCTTCAATGACCAGCCACGAAAAACCAACGATCAGAGAATATCAGCTGTAACAGGGCCAAAGAGAAATGGAGAGAGACAGAGAGAGATGAGAGCGTTGGGCATGACCTCGCAAAGGAAGATGCAAATATGCTCTCCATTTCTTAGGTGGATTGATGTTCAGAGAGGTTATGTGACTTGCCCAAAGTCACACAGTGAGGAAGAAGCAGAACTGGGATTTGAACTGAGGTCTGACTCAAGGGGGAAAGTGGGATTATGTGGCAAGTGTAGAGAATAAAGAAATGAGAGTGTGCTACAAAGGATGAAAATGTGAGGAGACAGAAGACTATTATGCTCCATTTTCCAAGCTCATCCACATGGGGTCACATTGTGTGGGAAGCAGGGGGACAGAAAGAAACACAGAGAGAGAGACAAACTGGTTTCAAACACCATCTAAGCTGGGGAACCTTGACCAGCCTACTTCCTCTGATTCTCAACTTCCTTACCTGGAAAGTAGAAAAATAATACCTGTTTTCCGGCTTCTTTGGGAGACAACAAAAGATGGAAACAACAATGTCCATTAACTGGAAAATGGATAAACAAACTGCGCTCAACCACACACACACATTGCTGACTATTACTAGTCCGCAATAAAAAGTAGCATGTTACTGAAACACACACCAACATGGATGGATCTCAAAAACATGCCAAGGGAATGAAGCCGGAGACAAATCATATGATTCCAATGACATGAAAGCATGGAAAAAACTAAACTATGGTGATAGAAAGCAGATCCGTGGTTACCAGAGGGGTAAGGGGGATCCACTGTGCAGGGGCACAAGGGGACTTTCTGAGTTGATGCAAATGTTCTGTATCGTGACTATGCTGGTGGTTACACAGGTGTAGACGTTTGTCAAGACTGTGCACCTCGGGGGGGGGTGATGAATTGGGCGATTGGGATTGACATGTATACACTGATGTGTATAAAATTGATGACTAATAAGAACCTGCTGTATAAAAAAATAAATAAAATAAAATCCAAAAAAAAAAGACTGTGCACTTAAAATGTGTTTTATTGCATGGAAATTATCCCTCAATAAAGTTGATTTGATAAATGAATAATTTGTAAATAAATTTTTAAGGAGAAAAAAACCCCTACCCAGTACAGTGTCCTGCTAATATCCATCAGGAAATCCTGTCCACTCTACTTTCCAAGTGAATCTAGAATCTCGCCACGTCTCACCACCCCCATTGCTGCTAGATGGTAGTCCGAGCCACCATTATCTCCCTAACACACCTATCAGAGGGGATTCTGTTCAAATATAATAAGCCAGATCACGACACTGCTCTGCTCCTTCTTACTCAGAAAAAAAGCTGAAGTCCTTAGTGACCCACAAGTCCCTACCTGATCTCATCCCCGTCACTCCTCCATCCTTACCTCCTCCCATTCTCCCCTTACCTCCACTTCACTCTAGGCCTCCTTGCTGTTCTTCCCGCACATTAGCCATGGTCCTGCCTCAGGGCCTTTGCATTTGCTATTTGCTCTGCCTAGAATGTTCTTCCTCCAGATATCTGCATGGCTCACTCCCTCACCATCTTCAAGCCTTTACTCAAATGTCATCTCACTGAAGACTCCCTCACCACCCTATTTAAAATTATAACCCCCACCCAAGGTTTTTTCTTTTTATCTCCCTTCTTTGCTTTTTTTTCCCCCTTCATAGCATATCTAATATTACATATATTTTGCTTTTTCTTTTGTTTATTAACCATCTCTCCTACTGGAATGTAAGTTCCACAAAGGCAGGGATTCCATTCTTTTTTGCTCACTGTTGTATCCTTAGTACCTATAACAGTATCAAATAGGTACTCAATAAATATTTGTTGAATGAGTGAGTGAGTGAGTGAATAGCATGCACTTTCCAACTATTTTCTTTTCTTTCTGCTCTATCCATCTGA